ACTTGAAAACATCATAAAACCATGTTCCATAGGAGTTTATGGCAGCAAACTCATGGAGAAATGGTCCATGGGCCGTAAACTCCATTTAGGAGTGTATTGATGCCACAAAACATTTCCTAGGGCTTAAACATGAAGTAGGAATGCTTGGAATGACTTAGTAGAATTCAAAGCATCAAATGGTCATAAGGTTGTGAGCTTACGGCCGTAAACTCAAGGGTTTACGACCGTAAACTCAAGGGGTTATGGTCTTTAGGGAGTAAACTCATATTAGGGGTTCCCTTGAACACTAAAACCCAATAGCCTTGTCCTACAACACTTAGATGCAATCCTTAGCACTTGTAACACTTATATAAAGTGTTTAACATGTTTTAGGATGTCTTAACCTTGTTAGGTAATTGTTTAAAGGCTTATTGGTTACATATATGTGATATTATATGTTATCTAGGATCATAGAGTGTGTGCAAGTCTTTACTTGACACCTAGCATCCTATACAGTCTATTCATCCCAACCACTTGCTACAGGTGAGTTCATACCCCTTAATCAATGGTTTAAATGTATCATGCTAGTTATTATATCAATCACATGTGATTAATAAGTAGCATACAAAAGGATTTACTACTCTTTTAGCTGTTTTACCAAACAGATTACTTCAAATGGTTTTCCAAAACATGTTTAATCGTTTAAAACTCTTTGTTAACCTGTCTTACATACTTAATGTTTCTTTTCAAACCCTGTTACAGTTGTGTTTCAAAACAAAGGTTTTCCTTATACTTTAAATTGTTCTCATCAAACAAACTATTATCAAATCCTTTTACCAACTGACATCAAGTCATCTTTTCCTAGTTATAAAACTTTTCAAAGGCTTTACAAAACTTCTTTTATAATTTTATATTTTCAATTGCATGCCTAGATATGTATAGTTATATCAGTAATGTTTAAAGGACTTAGGAAGGCTAACCCGCTTTATGTCCTTTTCCCCATTGGGATGTGGTCTGGTAGGGTATCGGGTATCCGTCCGAAGGTCGTTTAAATATTAGTTATATATCATGTGTACATATATAGTCATAAAGGTTCTTCCAGTCAATTCAATACCCTTGGGTAGCAAGGGAATACTTCCATGTTCATACGTACCAGTTACATTACTAGTAAGCTACCATATGGGTAGTTTAGGAAGATACTAATACGATTACTAGAATGCAGAATCATACCACGAGTCAGTTCATTCATGAGTCAATACTTGCTAGATAGAGAGAGAACACACATTATAGCTAGTACACACAGTACATTACTATACATGCTAGATACAGAGAGAACACACATTACAGCTAGCACATGTAGAACATTACAGTACATTACTATACTTCTACATAGATACATTTACATGATTACGCTTACATGAGTACGTTTACATTGATACGCTTACATGAGTACGTTTACATAGATACGCTTACATGAGTGCGTTTACATATACGATAATAGGACAGACATAACTAGGCGCTATAGCATGGAACGATTTCAGGATCTAACTATACCAATGAATCACAACGCATTGTGATAGTTATATTAGGTATACATGATCATAGTAATGTGGATGTTCGCGGCTTGCAAACATGCAGGGGTCGTGTGTGGGTCCTAAAATCTCTTTGACAGGGGAGCGTCTAGTCTGGGATCTAGCCATCACATTACGCCTTATCCCTAAAATAAGGCAAAATAGTACAAAAGTAGTCACTTATTACAAATTCTACAGTATTTACGAAATTACAATAGATTTAAGGTAGTTAGTACGGTTGTAGTTATTTGATACTACACCATAGTACTATTTCATTTTCCCATTACATTCACTTCGTGAACATTCACACGATGTACCGTAATGTAGAAACTATATTTTTGGTTAATGATAGTCAAATTTAGGAAAATACACACTCTTACAAGAGACACACACAGATACTAGATGCCTTGGTAGAAGGCTACTTTCAGTAGGAAGCATAGGGATTTCTAGGATGTTCAAAACGTTTTCATACTTACATTTCATACACGTATAAATACTTACATTTCATATACGTACAAATACTTACATTTCATATACGTACAAATACATTCTTACAAATTAAGATACTAAAATACTTATGATCTTACCAGCTTTAAAGCTGATACTCCCTTTCAAAATAACTTGTATCCTCATGACAACAGTAGACAGGTACCGATGCAAGGTTTAGAGAAGATGGAGCTCGTTCAAGACTCATCTTTCATTTTGATTTATACTTTAGTGTCTATTAGACATATCAAAACACTTGTATTAAAATTATATTATTAATGCAATCGATGATGTTGTTGCTTGTTTACTACTATTCATTGTTGTGATATTGTACATGACGTCCTCCGCCCAAAACGTTTCCGCCGTTCATGGTTTTGGGGTGTGACACCATGGGGTAATTGTAATATAAAAAATTGTAGAATGACATGCCTTTGTTTTTTCTTGGATTCCTAAAGACCTTGTAAGCCGAGCACCCCAAATTTGATGCCTCAAATGCTTCACACAACACCACAACTCTTGGAATAACTTGAGAGAAGTATACTTAAGCACAAATTCATCTAGCCCTCACTCTTTTTGTCTTAGTGGCCGATTTTTCTCCGTATGAGGTTGCTTATATAGTGTGTCACATGTAGGGTTACACCATGTAAACCTTAATGTGCATGGATTTTCATTTCCCCCATGATCCATGGGTTTTAACCTCCATGGAGCACCCAATGGGTCCTAGCCCAATCTAGTGAATCATGGACCATAAGCCCACTATATAAGAATGAAAGATTTACATAATCAATCCACATATATTTAATTAGTCTCTTTTGATCACAAAATTAATTCCAAATTAATTCTTGATCAATACTAATTAAATAATATGATTTCATAGTGATATATCAGAATATATTAACAAATCATAAGTGTCCTTATTCTCATTATGTCTATCTAATTGTTGAGATTCCATGCAACCCAAATGGACCATGCCAAGCCAAGTCAAGTACATACCAAATATAGTTATGGACTTAGACACCTTATCCAACAATTCCAACCTTCCAAGGACTTTTCAGAAGGTTTTTTTTGCAATTTATCTCAGCTCTCTCTGGCCTCAGTTTGTTGATTCTGATTAATGATCGGTTTGTATAATTTCAAATTTTTGGCTCTCACATCGTGACAATAAGAGTATCATGGTGTACAAATTGTAGTAATCCCATATGTGCCAAGGAATATGTCCATGTCCGTAGCGGATTGTTTTGTTGACATGTGGTCACGTCGTGACCAAGAGATGGTCACGTTGTGAGCAAAGTTCATGTAAGGATTCAAGAAGATTCTTGAATACCACTCCATGGGAAATAGATGTCCACAAATTAGGAACTTCAATATCCTCGTTTTCTTCTTCCTTCTCCTAATTTCAGCTCTAGTCCTCTAAGTATCCAGTTTTCTTCGATTTCATTCCTTTTTCCTTGAGAATATCCTTGTTGGCTGCAAAATAGAATTCGAACAATATAAGTACCAAATATCTTTGCATTTTACCAAAATATAACTCAAATTTATTAAAATAATGTATAAAAAAGTTTATAAATATGATACTATCAAGGAAATATATAATTACATGACTTAAAATATGATTAGTGTAAGTTCAAATTCAGGGTTTCTAGGATTTCCTGGCAGCTATAAATAGGGCCTTAACCATTGGCTTTTAGCAAACCTATTCCAAGGGAAAAAATGCAAAAATCCTTTCTATCTCCTCTCTCTCCTCTCAATATTAGGGTTTCTTGTGTTGTATGTGTGAAACATTAGAGGCTCATATACTATTGGAGTTAGTTTTCCCAAGAAGACAACAATATTTGATTAGCTTGTTTGGAATCTAGAAAATGTATGTTTTTCTTAACCATGAATTTCAGTTCATAGGGGTTAGTTTGTGGTTTTCATAAGTATGTTGCTATTAGATGTGAAAAAAGACATAGATTCATTTAAAGGTTACATGTACCCTTAAGTGTTAAGAAAATTTCCACATGTACATTCCTTTTGTAACCTAAAATCCCTAATAAGATTTGAATTAGTTGATCAGGCCGGAAAGACGCAAAAATAACCATCAAGCTAACGACCAATGCAAAGACGATCAACACAAGAGTGGGCAAAGCTTTGTTGAAAACTTCTTGCAATTCAGGGCAACATTTAGGCAATAATTTCTAATTTGATCCTTGAACTGGCTGGGGTGGTTTTATAGAACCAAATTAAGTAGTCGGAATCAGGGAAGGATGGTGAAATAGAATCTTACAAAAGAGATCTGCGCATGAATGAATAGACCGTTTAGCATTTTGAGGTTGGTTTCCAGCTCAGCATTCTTGAATTTGAGGGAGTTTATGAGGAATAGTCTTTTATGATTGGATCATTAGTGTGGATGAACTGCCAGAATTCAAGCAGGTGGTAGTAGATAGGAAAGGTGACATTGGTAGCAACCAGATTGTACAGCAGGGCAGAAACGTAGTAAGCACAGCTCAATGTGTGACAACCATCATTTTCGGGCCAAATCAAAGTCAAACTAAGTCAACAAGTCAAACCGGTCAACTCAACTATTACTTGTATGATAGGACTTACTCTATGTTTTCCAGTGTACAACTCTTTATCTTAATACAAAGAATCACTCAGAAGTTTCATAGGTTCAGAAATTATAAACCCTAAGCAGGGTGAGTGATGTATCGACTCGATAAAACACTATTATGTACCTTTTCGGGGTGTAAAACACTCATAACGAGGCATAGTGGGGTGTAATAACTTTGCATTACGAAGCCAAATAATAACAAAGGCCACAAATAACGTCTCTCTCTATCTCTCCCAAATCTCTCTCAGATCTCTCTCAACTTTTTATAAACATTTATACTATCCCAACCCCTTCTTTTGTTGAAAACAGCTCAAAACAAAAGGAGAAAAACCAAAAGGGCCCTCTTGGTCCGGAACCCTCTTGAATCGGGGCACCTACTCAAGAACCGGACGGACGCTCATGACTCCTGACACTACTGACTCAGGAAGAACGCTCCTGAGATCCGAACACTCCTGACACTCCTGACTCCGGATGGACGCTCCTGACCTTTTGACACTCCTGACTCTGGACGAACGCTCCAGACCTCCGGACACTCCTGAGACTCCTGACTTAGGACGGACGCTCCTGACTCCGGAAACTCCTGACTTTGGACGGACACTACTAACACTCCTGACTCCGGACGGACGCTCCTGACTCCGGACACTCCTGACACTCCTAACTCTGGACGAACGCTCCTGACATACGGACACTCCTGATACTCCTAACTCTGGACGGACGCTCCTGACTTTTGGACACTCCGGATGGACGCTCCTGACTTCCTAAAACTCCTGACTCTGGACGGATGCTCCTAAATCTGGACACGGTTGATACTCCTGACTCTGGATGGACGCTCCTGACTTCGGACACTCCTGACACTCCTGACTCCGGACGGATGCTCCTGGCTTCTGGACACTCCTGACTCCGGACACTCCTGACACTCCTGACTCCAGATGGACGCTCCTGACTCCGGACACTCATGACACTCCTAACTCCGAACACTCCTGACACTCCTTACTCTGGACACTCTTGACACTCCTGACTCCGGACGGACGCTCCTGACTTCCTGACACTCCTGACTCGGACCCTATTCCGGATTTTTTACCATTTCTGACCTTTTAGCAAATTTTAGGAGTATTTGACGTTGGGAACACCCTCAAACTCGTATTTCTCATGACTAAAACCCTCTAAACTACTATTTTATGCCAACCTTGAAGAATTAGAACACATTTTTATGAATAACGTCTAAGACTCATTATTTTATCCATAAAGTAATCACCCACTATATGTTACTATTCACACCTTACCTAGTCAAATCGTTGTCCTTTTTCAACTCATCCCAACACTCCATCAGAATTGCCTTAACCAAATCCACCCAAGAGATCTTATTCCTCACCTTCAAAGTCTTATTTGCCTCCACCAAAAACACACTGTTCTCTCTACCTATTTCTCAGTAATTATCATCTTGAAAAAAAAAGTATTCAGGAGATTTCCTCCATTCTAGGTAAGTTCCTTCATTCAAATCCTAAATATTCTACATTTCTACACACAAATCATGAATCATTCACACAAATATTCGCATATTTGTTCTTAGGATCTTCAAATCTTCAAGCATCTTTCCAGTGTCTTGACTTGAAACTCCCCTTCTTCAACTTACCACCTCAAGGAATCACTCAAGGTGAGTTCATGCCTCTACATTTTCATGTTTTCTTTAAGTTTTAGGGGGGAGGGGAATACAAGTTACAACACCCAAAACATATTCTAAACTAAATCAACAGCTTTCAACAGAAACGTTATGGTCTATTCACGAACTGTTTTGACCATATTAAACTTAAAAAAATTTTAAAACTGTTCAATGTACAAATAGTTCAGGTTTATACCTTTCTAATGACTACTTGCACACGTTCATACAATTTTGCTACAATTTATGGCAATTTTTACAAAACTGCCTATCATTTCATAAATGATTTCAGACTAGTCTGTTATTATGGACACTTTCACACTAGTTAGAGACCACTAAAAACCATAATAAAAATTATGAACAAACTAGATGCATTTTCTGAACTCCCAGAGTTTACAGATTCAGTTTTCGACTTATAGTGATTTTTCTATGAATTTTTTAAAAACAATGACAGAAAAGTTAAAACTAGTAAAATAGTTTATAAGTTCATTAACACTTTGTAACCTATTGAGCACAGATTGTATAACAATAAATAGCTAAAGTGTTGATTATATTTCATGTTAGATTACTTCTATGAAACAGAAATAGGCATTCTCATAAGGATCCTTCATCATTACAAACAAATATGATAAACTGTAATAGGTATAGTTTATAGTACATTAACACTGCAAACATACTAAGGATGTTATACATATGATAAACTATAATAGGTATAGTTTTTTGTGGTACATTAACACTACGATCATACTAAGGAAAGTTTCATTTACACTACACGTAAACTCGTTGGATCAAATTTGTGAGACACTACTTCATTGTATTCTTAGAGTACTGGTTAAAGTCCTATATTATAACCATAATCTCTAGTAGGGAGACCGTGAAACTTGTGTATAGATCTATATTGGGACTGACAATCTCACACTCTAAGTTGCTTACAATAGCTAGATCGGCAGTTCCGGGGTGACAAATGTCAAAACATTCTGACGCCTGAAGAACATCGCAAAAGGCTTACTATGTTAATTGCATGGTTATAATAACTCACATAGGGAAACAACGACACATATAGTTTACGGGAATTCTTACATTTCAAAAAGGGTTTTCATTCACACTACACGTAAACTCGTTGGATTAAATTTGTGAGACACTACTTCATTGTACTCTTATAGTACTAGTTAAAGTCTTGTATTATAACCATAATCTCTTGTAGGGAGAGCGTGATACTTGTGTATAGATCTATATTAGGACTGGAAATCCCACACCCTATGTTGCTTACAATAGCTAGACCGGCAGGTCTGGGGTGACAAATGTCAAAACATTTTGACGCCTGAAGAATGTCATAACATGCTTACTATATCAATTGCACAGTTATAATAACTCACATAGGGAAACAACGACACATATAGTTCGGGAATTCCTACATTCATAACGGTTTTATTTATTTAAAACTGCACTTACTATCATAAGTATGGAAGATACTTGTATAATTTGGTCTTTGAGCTCTAAGGCTACCACTCATTCTATAAGGAAAATATTGGATTTTTCTTGAACATACATTACATTTACAAAGAAAGAAGTTCTAATTATGTACTACTGCAGTATACTATTTCCAAGAAATAAACATTCACACATATCGGTCTTAGGGTAGTTAAGACTACGTTTCGTCTAGAATTGTTAGATTTCGTCCAAAATTGCTACGTGTATACGGCAAAGTTATATGAAATTTGACACGAACGACTTGGAAATGGCTGGGTCCACCTTAGATCATGTTCCTTGTGGTTGTGAGCTTAGGGCAGACCCATTATATTCGACGGTTTATTCGATCTTGATTTTTATATAACTTATATACATTGGGGGATTATAGAAGGAAGTCATAAGTCTCTCTAGGAGTACACTATTCTATGACACAAAAATTTACATATCTGGAGTAACTTTTACCCGGGAGCATGCATTATAAGGGTGATACCATCATAAAACTTAGGCATGAGCAAAAGAACCGAACCGAACCGGAACCGGGAACCGGCTTCGGCCAAAATTAAGAACCGAACCGGCCCGGCGGTTCTACCGGTTCCGGTTCCACCGGTTCCCGGTTCCTACCGGTTCTTGTCGTGTCTTCAAATGTTGGAACCGGTCCTTGAAAAATAGCATCATACGGTTCCGGTTTTTGCCGGTTCTACCAGTTTTTGCCGGTTCCGGTTATATCGGTTCCGGTTCCTACCGGTTCCCGGTTCCAAAAATCCACAAAAATAATGTCTCGGTCCCGGCCCGACCGGTTCCATCGGGTTCCGGTTCCGGTGCCGGTTCCGGTTCCGGTACCGGTTCCGGCCGGTTCCCGGTCCATATGCTCATCCCTAATAAAACTACATTGCACTGTTTTCAAGTACATAACAACTTTCATTTCAGAAATCATACTTCCAAATGGTTTTTATATAGATTAAAATCTATGTAATATTACTACTTAAGGATACAAAGACATTTATACTTTTGGTCCGAAGGGACTAAGACAACATTCCATTTTACTAAGAAAATATAGGATTTTCTGGAGGAACATACAAACATTTTTAAGAAACAAAGAACTTATTTTTCTAAAACAAAATGCTTATGAACTCAGCAACTTAAATGTTCATACACATTCAAAATTACTTGTATTCTTAGGAAACCAATAGACAGGTACACATACAGGTTTTCAAGAAGACGGAGCATAACAGCTTCTAGTCTTAGTTTTTATTATGTACATTTGGAGTCATTCAAGTTATGTTTCGAATACAATGTAAAAAATATATATTCAATACAATGGTTTTTGTAGCTTTGATTACTATTATTCATTTGTGGTGATATTGTACATGACGTCCTCCGCCCCCAAACGTTTCCGCCATCTCGATTTGGGGGTGTGACATAATGGGACTCATGCTCACACCAAAAGGAACAAGTTCCAATCTTAGGACAAATTGTTGAAACATTGAAAGAAAACTTTTGCAACATGGTCTACTATTGTATGATGTATATTAGGTTATAGAACTTGAGACATGGATCACAATCAGTTAATGAGTACGAAAATGAATTTTCCTCTTGTTTGCACATAATGAGATTAATTATAGTGATATCCAACTCGTATCACACTTTCTTGGAAGTTTGCTTCCTTAAATTCAAGCATATTTATCTTAGTTTGATTCAACTACTGTGTTAGAGGCTCATCGATGAGCAATTGCATTTTCGAACCAGTTTAAACTAACTACAATGAGTTGGGGTTCATGGACTCATAATGCAGGATTCACAAGGGATATACAAAATCCTAGAAATAAAGAAGGGATAGACACATCATCTAGAGAAAAAAGTCACCACCATCTCATCCAAACAACACCATAAAATCAAGGCTTAGATCGTTCCTCTCAACCAAACTCCTTGCATTATTTCACTTGTAGTGAATCAGGTCATCGCCAATCTGCATTTCCTAATCATGCTCGATGCGAACTCCTTGTTGATTCTATATAATAGGAAGCTACTATGGTATATGACGATGATGCAAAGGAAGGTAATAACGAACGCCCTATGGAATTTATCGGCGATGATAGAGGTTTGTTGTTATTAGTTCAACATGTGTGTTTAGTTCCTGTATATATAAAGGAACCTTGGTTGTGAACTAACATTTTCTAGTTAACTTGTATAACTAATGGTAAAATGTGTAGCTTTGTGATTGACTTAGGGAGCTGCCACAATGTAATTTTGTAGGGAGCAACGAAGAATTAGGACTCAAACATGAAGATAATCCAACTCCTTAAAAAATAACTTGGTTAAAATAAGTGATAGAGATTCCTATTTCATACATAACCTTGGTTTCCTTTACAATTGGCAATCATTAAAAAGAAAAAATTCAGTGGGATATTTCCCCAATGGATGTGATCCATCATTACCAAAAAAGATGGCTCGTGGAGGATGTGTGTGGATAATCGGGAAATCAAGATCATCATCCGCTATCTCTTTCCGATACCGCATTCGATATTATGCTCAAATATATTGTGAAAGCGTAAATATTTTCTGAATTATACCTCAAGATTGGTAATCATCAAATCTTAACCAAATCCAAGGATGATTGGAAAACAAAATTTAAGCATGTGAGGGGCTATTTGAATGGATCATTATGCCCTTTGGGTTATCCAGTACGTCGAGTACATTTATGCAGGTGATAAAGCAGGCATTGAGACCTTTTGTAGTTAAATTCGTAGTGGTGTATTCCGACAATAATTTGGTTTTTAATTCCGCTTTTGCAAACATCACATATCATCTCCTTTAGATCTTACAAATTCTT